ACAAATGACCCAATAAATAAACATACTTAAAAATACCCCAATTAATTTAAAGTGTATTAATTTATTTATTGGGCCATTAATATATTTTTGCTTTTTTTTATCATGTCAGCATTGGTCCTCCATATCATAGTTATTAGTAAAGCTGCATACTATCTGGGGTCACAAGTCTCTGCAACTGTTGTTTTTTGGGCCGTAAGCTGAAAAGTTGGAAAACCACTGCTCTACATATTGTTGCAGATCCAATGGATTATTCTGAACCTGACATGCAGGGTGGATCCTWTGTCTGATCACTATTTTGTCTGTAATTTAGCAACCTACTGAACGAACATGACAGTCAGTCACACACAGCATTACATAAGAGTCGCTGCTCTTTGCTGACATTTCCTCGTTTACCTGTTTCCTTTCAAATGCCATCTCATAGGAAAAAAGAAAAAAGCTTAATGTCATTTCAGTTCAAAGACAGKTCTCTTCCTCTGTGGCTTTTCCTGGTGTTTGAAAATGGTCCCCGTGCATCAGTGAGGCAGACAGCTGGGGCTCAGTGCAGCGCCACAACAAAAGAAGTTTGCAGAAAATCATCATGTGTGCCACTCATCGACGTACTGAGAATAATCGAGAGGAGGAAAATRGGAGGAAGGCCTGCTATTACTTCACAATGCAACAGTGTGTCAGATTTGAAAATCATCCTAAATGATTCCCAGCTGATGGGCCTTTCAGCACCTGTTTAAGTTTAGACTCTGACTCACACACTGCTGAAACAGGGACACTTTTTAAACAGTGAAAAGGACTTTATATAACTCACTGCCACCAAGGTTTTTAAATAGTCCAGTAAATCATCCTGCATCGTAATGGATATAGTGGTTGCAGACGTTTTGTAGAAACACTGAGGATTCATTCTGGAGAAATGACCATTAAGTTCCAGCTTAATGYAGGATAGAAAATAATAACATGACTATTTTCCCACCATGCATGGTTTTAAGCAGTGAGCTCTAAATGTTTCACTGAGAGCTTCAAAACAAATTGTAGGCTGTTTTTTGAACTCTTGAAGTAAATAGCATTTTTGGCACCTTTGGGTAAACTGGGTCRCCTAAAGCACTTAGAGTATTGATGTCCACCACATCAGGCAGATGCTAGAAAAAACAACTGTGCATGACCTGCATGCATTAGAACAAAGCTATGAAACATGTTGCAGCCCCTTTTTTCAGGTGATTGGAGGGGATCATAAACTGAGCTGAAATTGARTATTAAACATTTGGGAATGATACAAAGAAGACATTTCTGGAGTTTTACAAGTTATCTTTTGTTACCAAGATTTAAGATCGTTTAAACACAACCTCGAACAAAAGCATCAACATATTACATCATGTTTGATTTAAAAAGACGTTAAAGGCTTATCTTGCTAATCAAGTGCATTGAGTRGATTATCAACAAGTCTGAGCGCCTCTATTAAAAGCAGAAGTGTTGCCAAGCTGCTTTTCGTAAAGATGTACACGTTTGCAGGGTAGAAATGATTAGAAACTGCGATGTGTGTGGTTTCAAACAACATCATGACCAATTTCCAAAACCACTAAACCAAAATGTCACAATCCAAGAGCCGGAGATCAAAGTGCCCACTCAAGTATGATGCATCAAAATTGGTCCTGCAGGTAGACGACAACATGATAGTGGTGTTTGTTTCTGTCTGCTCAGCAGGCCCTGGTGTCAAGGACTGTCGACCGACGGCACAGAAACCCCTTCCATCAGTCGTGAGAGTGTCCCCTCGCTTGGCGGGAGCTGACATTTTGACATGTTGCATCACAACGGTTTGTCATTCTCGCGAGCATTTTCCAGCCCGCCAGGGACCAGATTACTGATGATCGGGGAAACGTGAGGATATCRCGAGTCCCATCCTAACAGGAAAGAGCAGCTGGCGTCAGACATCAATCCTCAGACTTTCTCTGTTTGTTATYGGGCCTCTGAATATCCCCACCGCCTTGTCGTGTTGGCCGTAATGACTGCCAGTCACTGAGTCACCTCTCTGGCGGTAGCTGGAGTGCAATCGTAAGCAGTCAGAGGCTTCAGGGAGCGTTGGCACAACTGACAGTGGCGAGATGAGCGAGGATAAAATCCCCGAGTTTGGTGGTGGTGGTGGAGGTGACGCGGCTAACTCCTTAAAGGGGCGATATCATGTAAAATCAACATTTTTGAGTTTTATACCATGTTATAATGTTATACTCTCATAAAAAACATGCCCAATGCAACAGCTAAAGGTGACTTAGATACTTTATTATGGTATAGTATTTAAATATATGCCTGAGAACCGCATGATATTGCCTTTTTAAGCCCCTGATCATTTTGTGGCCTTCTCTGGRGAGGCCAGAGAATGGCTTTGCATCTCGCCAACGCAGATAATGGTGAAAATAACTGCTATCATCACAGCTGTGATTGGCTTCAGCAGCGGCGGGACTCTGAGCACATCGATTGCATCTCCGATCCTGAGAGGAAACTCGAACCGAAAGCCCTGAAATGCAAAGGCTGAGCGCTGGTGCATCACATGGAGAAATGCGAGAGCGATTGTGATTAAACTGATACAGCGATCAATGGGTGCAAATCTGCGCGCATCTGCCTCCTCTCCAGTCAGCACACAGTGCAGAACGTTAACGGCTCTCTGGCCAAGTCCTTCTTTCCCACACCACCTACATTTTGAGCTGTCCATTAATAGACAAAACTCCATTTGCACTCTCGACAACATTATCAGCACAGACTAAGTATGGTATTAAGGTGAAAGACCACAGCACTGCTTAGAATAGAACAGAATTTGCTTGTGAACCCGTGAGTCAGGCTGTTTGTTGCTTTTGGCTGTGTAGCCGTGAAGGAGGTAAGGTTACTCCACATTAAAAAGACTGTAAAATATGATGCAGTCACGTTAATGTGAAAATAAACAAATAGATCCATCACATGCTATAAAGAGATTCAGTAGAAATTGATGAAGCGAGTGGCCAGATTGAAGAGCAGACTGTTGAAGAGTGGATGCCAGAAAACAGACTTTTTTCCCCCCTCACATGCTATCTCATTTTATGAAACCATTTACAGAACAGGACTGAAATAATACCCAAATCAGAAGGCAGGACCACACTCAAAGCGCTCATAAAGGGATTTTATGTGCATGTCAAAGTCAGGGCCCGCAGGCCAAATCTGGCCCGCCATGGAACTTTATGTGGGCCACCAATGATTCAAAGATGTTTTAATGTCTTAAAATAAGAAAATGCTGCTTTAAAGCCAGAATGGACCATTAACTCCATCAACCATAAYGCATGTAGATTATTTTACTCGCAAAAAGACGACATTCCACCACTAGGTAGAGGTGCACAAGGTTCAAACATAGCCAACAGTTGGCAAATTGGTCATGTAAAATCTCCATTTACCCGCATTTTCATCAGCTRCTGGCTACTTTTGAACCYGTTGYACCKCCACCTAGTRGTARGATTCCATCTTTTTGCAAGTAAAAYAATCTAAGGTGTAGGCTACTTTTTATGCAGCCCAGTTTTGCTGGGTAGTGGGAATTTCCCATGTACAAGTCCTAAATTTATACTGGAACGCACCCTTTAGTGGGAATTCCCCATCTAAAAAATGGGAGAGTTCAGAATTTGAGATGCCAGCTACTCACCAATACAACTCGCTTGTTTGTTTTTTGTTTGTTTGTTTTTAACAGTATTTAAATTAAGCTATTATTCATTTACATGACACGTTTCAGAATGTTGTAAACAATAAAAAAAAATAATATCTTGTTTGGCCATCCATTAGCTTAGCCTGGATGAGTCTGCGCGCCAACCGCTCACAAGGTACTGTCAATGAATATTTATTAGAAAATCGCTTCAAAAATCCACAATTATCATTTTAAATCAAGTTCAAAGCAACAATACATTGGGAACACTCTGTGTTTTCAGCCTGCACACCTCCCTAACTCCATTTCTAATCACGGTCCTGACTGTGGCTTGCTTAAACTAGATGATGCTCGGAGCACATGCYGTCTCCCCCCTCTCTGCCTGTTTTAGTCTGTGGTAGTAGTGTGTGGGAGTTTGGCTCGGCTGGTCACGTCTCTCCAGGGGTGCCAGCAAAATCTCTAGAGGACTGAGGAGCCGGCTCAAAAATAAATAAGTATATAAAAATAAATAATAAAAAAAACATGCCCCCATTTTCAACCAAGAAAATGATGAGGACCTCTTGCTCCTCTCTCTGCAGCGCTCTCCACATAAACCTTGAAGCACAAGTTTTATTACCAATGAGATTATGATCCATTTAGTTTATTCTGGTCTCTTGTGCCCCTAGAAGCTGCTGTGAACATTTATAATAACTAAACAGTTCTAGGTCAAATCAGACTCCTCTTTTTCTGCTTATTTATTGTGGGAGACTGAACAGCTGGATCGATGCACTTGTCGATGTTTTTATTTTACAACAAAAGTCAAATTTGCAGTGTTTATTGCCTGCAATTTTCATAACGAGGCAAGAAATCTGAAAGATATAGTTGCAAATTGGGTTTGTTTGCAGCCTTACAAGCTGATAACCCCTGTGCTGTTAAGAGTTGCCTGTTGTGGAGTTAGGCAATCAAAAAACAAATGTTGCTTCAAACTTTAATTAATTACCATCAATGAGACTTCATCCACCGCCTCAAGCGACCACTGGCTTCTATACAAGTTTGTGTGGGTGGTGTGTGTTTATCTGAAGAGCTCAGTTTGCCAAATTGGCCAATTATCAACAGCTGAGAGGATGTTACAGATACATTACATGCACGTGAAATGCAAATGTTTGGAAGGTTAACGAAGAGGCCTAAAGTGAGCAAAGAAAGAAAATACCCTTGTCAAACGGACAAACTGAAGTGACTCACATGCTGTCACCCAAACGGCTCAATGTGTCCATCTGTTGGCTGCTAGTGGGTCTGCCATGACGTCATCTCTGAGCTCAAACAGAATCTAATGTGCAGCCAAAAAAAAGGGAAAACCTGATGATAAAACAAAAAAAAAACATCGTTGTAAAATGTTTTATTCAAAAACATTCAGAGGAGATTCCTTTAGTACATCTTACAAACATCTCTCTAAGACACAAAAGGGAAATAAAGTTGGTAAATACTTCACAGAAAAACAATAAAAAAGACCAACTTGATATTTCTCTTCTCTTTTTTTTTTTTAAAGGGACAAACACGTTTAAAAAAGGAATAAAACATTGGCAAACTAAACGGACAACATTCATGCTAATTCAAGCTTTGAAGCTAAATTAATTAAACAGGAGCTATATTGAATAGAATCATGGCCAAATTTGAGGAACCTATGTTCTTAAAAGGTTAATAAAAAAGGTATTCTCAATAAAAGTAAAAAAAWAAATAAAAAATAAAAGCTATGACAAGTGTGAAGCTTTCCTTTATTGTCTCAAATATTAAGACATCATTAGCTTCACAGGTTCACTTTTAAAACATATCATTTTCTCATTTTTACCAGCTTAAAGAAGTTTATCACATTATTAATAGTCCTATATGAAATGTGTATCACCTAAACATTAGTGCATTTCTTYAATAGACACCGAATTCAGCTTGAAATGACATTATCTTTTTTCCTCCCTCTACACAAAACTAGTGTAATACTCCACATGGTTCAGTCAGTAAAATGAAATGAAGAAAACAAAAATACAAATGATTGAACTTTAGGAAAAATACAGACGCATTTTCACATTCATAAAAATATATATATTTTTTTCCTAAACATTTATGGTTAAATAGATAATCTGCTCTGTGCACGAGCGCATTAAGCTTATTCCTACTAACAAGCATCAAACTGCTGCTGCTTCAAGAGTGAAAATACATTTAATGTTGCAGTTTGAGTTTTCCATCTTCAAATGTAGATAGGAGCTGAATCACAAGGAGAAAATAAACAAAGCAGGAACTTTACTTTGGAAGCTTTTCCTTTTTTAAGCCCATTTTTTACGCATCTCTAAGGTTTTGAGATCAGCCAATAAGGAGGTTCCTTATCCACTTGAGAAGTGATGATTTCAGATAACTTTAACTGAGGGAGGAGGGACAATTAGCAGCCACGAAAATGTTGGTGACCTGGCTTTAAAACATGGCTGGTGCAGCTTTAAGACTGACTGGGATAAATGAAATGTTGTGAACACAAAAGTACAATTAACAGTCATCTTTCTGTTAAAACAGCAAGCACAAACTGATGCCCTAAAGCATCGTTTGACACGACGTTTCACTCACTGTACGTTTGGGGGAAGACCAATCTTCTGGTAAGGCTAGCGTTGTTGTTTCATACATTCATAGGAGCGAGACTGTGACCGTGCTGCGGCACAGCGCGGTTCCACAACACCGAGACACGAAACGGCTTTTATTCGAACGGTTCCACAATCAAGCGAAGAAAGGCACTGCATTAATTATATACCATTTGAGATTCCTATGCTCTCCGTTATCTATCTTGAAAAAGATAAAAATTGCAAAAATCTGTTTTCGTTGGAGATCCTTCGTGTTTGAAAAATAAAGTTTGAGATATTTAGAAAAAATATTATCTCTGCACCTTTGTTTCATTTTAGCAAGGAGAGTTTATCAAAAGTTACTATAAAAGAGAAAAAAAATGGTTATGGCATTGTCATTTTTTTAAATGATTATCTGCTTGATCCTAACTGCACTAAAAATCTAGAGACATGAAAACATTGACACTTCTGTGATGAGGATTAGCATTCTGACAAATRATAATAATAATTTTAGAAGATGGATGAAACGCTTTAGCTTTGCTGTATGTGACCTATGAAGCTAAAATGAAAACAAATAAATTAATTTACAAAAAATACCAAATGGATGAAGAAARAACTGAATGTTCTTGGCGGTCACAGTGCTACTCATTTGGACATGTGTCTGTTAGTACAGGTGAAGAGGACAGTGCTACAGCCAACAAAGCTGTCCTCTATGAATTAAAATAGCACTTGTTTAAGTCACAGTCCTCGCCCGCTTCGCCCTGTCGGGGGGGGGGGTCACTGAATGTCCAGTCTGCTGTACATCACGCTGCGGTTCCAGTGCAACGTTCGCCATGAAAACGGCAACTGATAGCTTCGAGGGACTGTGCCGTGCACGTTCTCCTCAAAGAACTGGAACAGTCTATACCACCAAACCCGGGAGAACGGGTTACTCTGTGAAGACTCCTTCAGCGACTGGAAAAAAAAAAAACAAAAATAAAAAATACTAATTTAAGTTTGACAAGTTACATGAACAGATCATGAGTTATAGAAGAAAATAAATATAATTCAGACATTTAGAAGGAGAGAAACACTTTAAAAAGGTAAGCAAGATGTGCTCAAACCTTTTCCCCCAGAGAGGGATAACTGAAAATCTATGCAAAGGCTGTGGGTCAAATGTAATAAATATATGAGACGCAAATACTTTTTAGGTAATGCTCTTATTTCATATGATTAAGCTAGCAGCCAGTTTGACCGCCCAGGTTTTTTTTTTATTTGTTTGTTTTTTTAGCTTGTGCACTTGGAGAAAGTTTGATGTAAGCTCTGGCAGCTAAGGCTCATGGGACATTTCATGTGTGCCTAAATTTTATCTAATGTCTCTTGTAGTTACTTGTATTTCATGTATAATCTCAACTTAATTCAATGATAAAGTGAGAGAAAACTATCTGCACTACAGCCTGTTATATAGTAATTGGGCCAATAGATGAAATAACTAAGTGGGACTAGACAGGAGATCACAACAATGGCTTGGCCCCACTCAGAAATGCATCAAGTGCGTTTTAACAGTTACTTTTTTTAACATTTAAACCTAACTCTGATTTCTCTCTAAGAACTTCTTTTTAAACGTCCACTAGGTTTGGGTTGAACTGTGAGTTTGACAATTTCCGAAAAAACATATTTCTCAAAAATATAAAAATGTCCAACTCTTTCTAATCTTGAAATAAACATTACTCAGGTCATTTTATATAGTAAATACACAGCTCTCTACAAGAACTTGTTTTACTTTTTAAGTATGTTATTTCTAGTGGAGGATCATCAATTTATTGTAATGTTTTTTTTTTCCCAGTTCAATATTAATTCAGAAAATCATTCAATTCAATTCGACCCCCTGGCCAGTTTGTCAAGTTTTTGTTTGCACTCCATATTTAAAACAAGTAGTATTGTACAACTGCTTTATTTTCGGATATTTTGTTTCACAAAAAAGTTAATTTACACCATTTGTTTAGATAGCTAAAGAATTATCCAGTAATTATACATTCTAATGAATTATTTGTGCACTATTTATGAAATTGATATTGAAGCATTTAAAGCAATATTGAATCAAAATTGAATTGAATTGTGAGGCTGTTTATAATACCCAACCCTGCTTACTATTTTATATTTCATTTGTAAAATGTGGTATGTCCCACATAAAATTGTACATAATCAATGACAGAGCAGCTGTAATAATATGTTTCTGTAGTTTTTCACGCTTCTTGTGGTTCTTCTTACTTTATGTCTGAAGATATTACAGCTATAACAATTAGCTATTTTTAATCGCATTGCTCATACTTAGAAATCCATCAAAGGAACACTTGCTCACCTGCTGGTTGGCCATTGTGTGATACCACCAGAAGAGACGTGTAGTGATAAAGTAAGCCACAACCACATCCACCGTATAGTGGTCATGGGCCAAAAGGATGCAGAAAATTCCAACTGCACTCAAGGTCCAGCACAACCAGTGGTACCACCAAAACCGCTTGGGGGAGTCTGATAATCAAAAAAAAAGCAGCACATGAAATCAGGTGCCATAAATGTGATGCCCCATCAAGGCTTTTCTCATGTTTCACCACTAGATGTCAGATCTACATCAATGAGATTTATTGATAAACTGTAAAAAATAAATACTGAAGTCCTAGCAGAGCAAATTTTCAAAAATATCACTGAAGGGAAAAACACAATGTCACCAAACTACTTAAAAGGCTGCAGTTTCACAAATATTAACTTTGAAGGAAATGAAAGAAGGAATCATACAAAATAAAACTTCAGAAACACTTTTTGTTGTGAAAACAAATGGTGTAGCTATATATAGAGTGACAAGTCTTCACTTGTTGGCACTGATATTGTAAGGTATGTGTTTACAGTACTTCCTCTTTAGTTGCCTCAATGTTTCCTGTAAAGAAAAGTTGTCAAAGCAAAGTCACACTAAGAGCACGGAGCTACAGAAGATGATAAAACAACTATATACACTCACCGGCCACTTTATTAGGTACACCTGTCCAACTGCTCGTGAACACTTAATTTCTAATCAGCCAATCACATGGCDGCAACTCAGBGCATTTAGGCATGTAGACATGGTCAAGACAATCTCCTGCAGTTCAAACCGAGCATCAGTATGGGGAAGAAAGGTGATTTGAGTGCCTTTGAACGTGGCATGGTTGTTGGTGCCAGAAGGGCTGGTCTGAGTATTTTAGAAACTGCTGATCTACTGGGATTTTCACGCACAACCATCTCTAGGGTTTACAGAGAATGGTCCGAAAAAGAAAAAACATCCAGTGAGCGGCAGTCCTGTGGGCGGAAATGCCTTGTTGATGCCAGAGGTCAGAGGAGAATGGGCAGACTGGTTCGAGCTGATAGAAAGGCAACAGTGACTCAAATAACCACCCGTTACAACCAAGGTAGGCAGAAGAGCATCTCTGAACGCACAGTACGTCGAACTTTGAGGCAGATGGGCTTCAGCAGCAGAAGACCACACCGGGTGCCACTCCTTTCAGTTRAGAACAGGAAACTGAGGCTACAATTTGCACAAGCTCATCGAAATTGGACAAGAGAAGATTGGAAAAACGTTGCCTGGTCTGATGAGTCTCGATTTCTGCTGCGACATTCGGATGGTAGGGTCAGAATTTGGCRTCAACAACATGAAAGCATGGATCCATCCTGCCTTGTATCAACGGTTCAGGCTGGTGGTGGTGGTGTCATGGTGTGGGGAATCTTTTCTTGGGACTCTTTGGGCCCCTTGGTACCAATTGAGCATCGTTGCAACGCCACAGCCTACCTGAGTATTGTTGCTGACCATGTCCATCCCTTTATGACCACAATGTACCCAACATCTGATGGCTACTTTCAGCAGGATAATGCGCCATGTCATAAAGCTGGAATCATCTCAGACTGGTTTCTTGAACATGACATCGAGTTCACTGTACTCAAATGGCCTCCACAGTCACCAGATCTCAATCCAATAGAGCATCTTTGGGATGTGGTGGAACGGGAGATTCGCATCATGGATGTGCAGCCGACAAATCTGCGGCAACTGTGTGATGCCATCATGTCAATATGGACCAAAATCTCTGAGGAATGCTTCCAGCACCTTGTTGAATCTATGCCACAAAGAATTGAGGCAGTTCTGAAGGCAAAAGGGGGTCCAACCCGTTACTAGCGTGGTGTACCTAATAAAGTGGCCAGTGAGTGTAGATGCACATCCACAAAACGACTTTACTTAATAGTCAGACAAAATGTTGAGCTAAAACACAGTGAGACTGGGAGTGTACAAGACAATACATGAGGTTATCCAATCACTAATACATGTTATTTATAATGATTTATAACAAGAAATTAAACTGAGGTCAGATCTGACTGATGGCTTAAACAAGACAGGGGAACTTACACTCTTTGATGAAGAGGAAAGTGAGCGTTAACATCACAGTGTGGCCACTGTAAAGATAATCCCCACACATGGTGTGAGATCCTGTGATGGATAAACCTCCACCAGCGATCATTTTCATTATTCTTCTCATCTGTGCCTCCCAGTTCCCAAGAAGCTACAAAAAAAAAACAAAAAAAAACACACAACAGCATATGATTAATAAAGAAAATAGCAGCGATAATGGAAAATAAAAAACGATCAATTTTGGTTATGAAAGAGCAAAACTGGGCTTCTTTTATATTTTTATTTGTTTTTTCTACAAGTTACATAATTCACTTTAATTTAACTTAATTTACTTCCCAAATGATATTTGTGTGATCAATTAAAAAAGGTATTTATGGAATATGTGTAAACATCAAGTCACCCAATATTTGAAGGTTTCTTTAAAAATTCTGAACATATAAATGTAGTCAATAGTATTCAAGTAAAATTTTGAAATACTTAAAAAAACTGACTTTATGGCAAAAACTGTCCAACAATAATGCTTTATTGGCCTTTTCTATTTGCTTCTTTTCTATTTGCTTTTACGCAAAAGGAAGTTGTGCCAAGTTTTTATGAAACAGCAGAATATAGGTGTGGGGTTTGACGTAGTGTTTGACTCTCAATAAAATTTATGTTTCAGATTATTTACATTTTTAAATGAAACCAGTTAATTTTAATTTGAAAAACCTTCTGAAATGAGTAACAGAACATATTAAAAGAAATTAAATAAAAGTTAATTAGTCCTATTTTATGACTTGACGTTTGTTTTAAAGCATTGTCCTTCATGTTTTCTTTATCATATTTCCAGGCTCAGACATACAGTATAAGTCACATGGTCTACCTTTGGAGAACATTTAAAGTGCATCCCAGGAACTGGAAGMGTGGTGATGTACATTGTAATACACCGATACAAATAGAGTGTTCCAACGATGAAAAAGAATCTCCTTCCTATAATTGACCTAAAAAAAAAAGAAGTTAAAGATAAAATATCCCCATTTTGACACTCATTAAAGTGAATGCGAGCCTTGTGTTCAGTAAATGCAGCTCAGCGTCTGTACCTGTGCTTCAGTAGAAGCCACTGTATCAACCAGAGTCCCACTAGCAGCATGCCGTTTATCTCACAGATAGAGAAGGCCCACTCCACTCTGTCAAACAGGTCGAAGAACTTGTCAGGCAGTGGGGGAGTATGTTCTTTAGAAGGAACTCTTTCATGGACCACTGAAATGACAACGGTCGTGGTGACAAAACAAACTATAGCATAGCTGAATGCTATGCCTGTCTTCCCCCACTCTGTCGGGAAGGAGCAGCGTGTCGTTTCCATCGTRGGCATCGAAATGCGAATCATYTCCCCTTTGAAGCCCTTCCCCTCCAATGTGCCGTTCCTCTGGGGCTTACTAGTTCCATTGGGTATCCCCACAACATGTCCATTGGCGTGACCATTTTTCTGAGCCTCGATCTGGTTTGCGATCCGAAGYGCRTCCCTTCGTTGCAGCAGTTGCTCTCCACCATCGGAYGACCACAATGACAGGGACTGCATCTGAAAATCGACCTTGCTGAGTCTGAGCAGAGCTGGGCCGTCTAGGTTTTGGAGGGCTTCTGTGTACTCTGGCATCCCCTCTTTGTTCAGCCAGTCAGAAACATCTTTTGGTGACCAATTCTCTACCCTCTTCATCTTGGTCAGCGGCAAATGTGGAGGATTGGGAGGGGCCTCAAACAAGAGGGCAAGAATTACAAGAGGACTGGCCGTCTATTAGGCAGCAAAGAGATGTCTCCAATGTTGATACATGTTGCGTCTTTCATCCAGAGCGAGTCCAGGCTCCTCTTGATATCAAAACAGAGAAGGAAGGCAGGAGGGAATCTCAGGGTTAGGTCCACAGTATGACTGGCCAAACAGACAGACTCTGGAACTCTGCAAAAAGAAAAACAAATTGCTGTGAATTGAAGAGTGCAATAATGACTTCATACAGTTATTACTGAGTATAAATAAAATGCATTATACACATTACTTGAAAGAAAAAAAATCATAGCTTTGTTAGTTATTCTTCTGAAACATGCCCATAAGACCTTACGCTAAAAGATCATCTTATAGAGCTTCAACATCAACTTGTTATACTCACCAAACCACAAAAATACAAACATGTACAAAAAACTAATAAGCACTAGACAATGGTTAAATTCTGTTAAGTCACTTCAACAGAAGAGTCATATTAGCAAAAACCTTTAAAAAGGTTTTGCATTTTTCACTCGCAAAAGCAGTTCCATTAAGCCCATTTATATTTAACGTACACCAATTTATTGATTTTTTGTGTTTCTGCTTTTGTATTTCATGCAACACAGTACATAGCTGCTGTGCAGTTACAAACTAGAGGCGTTAGTCTTGATCACTTTATTTACACAGCTGCTCTTTGAGGGCCAGGGGAGGAAAGGGAGGTTTCCGACTTTATTACATCCTTTAAATAAAAGTCATGTTGAGATCATTTGCATGGGACTGAATAAAACTGAACATTTATCTCAGTTTGTAGAAACTGACAGAACTCAAYCAGGAGACGGGAGATATAACTTCTGAGACTTAAGTGCCCAGCCCTTTTAAGGACAAAACAAATACAAGTGACATTAAATGTGTTTTACTTTAGTTTGTTTTCTCTAACATACTCTCTTATCTAAACTTCTGGCAACGGCCTAGAGATGAACTCACATCTGTTACATATCCGTTTGTTTACTGACTGTGATTGTCAGTGGAAGACACAGGGTGTCTGTTTATACAGTATAAGCATGTGTGTGTGTGTGTGTGTGTTTGGCAGGGGGGGCCAGGGGTCTACAGAAGAGGAGCTCTGATCTACAAGGATAGGAGGAAACCGGGTGGATAGGAGGGAGACAGACTCCAAGGAGGAACTCATAAATCAGAGTGAAGGTCAGAACTGAGCTCTAACTCAGCCCAACCCCTGTTCAGAGGGCAGTTTGCCAGCAGTTGTGCCTCCGTTAAGCCAGTGCGGACCAGGCAAAAATCAACTAAATACCCTGGCAGACTGGACAGTTGGCAATGAAAACAAACAGCACATGGGTACCTCATCTCACCTCATTTCTGTTTAGAAGCATTTTAATTCAGATCAGCAAAACAGAGGCAGACCGACTTATCCACTACCTCACCAACATCTGGCTTTGGCTTCATTTTCATTTAGGTCAGGTGAATATTTTCATCCAGTACTTCAATGATTGTACTTGAGTTTATTAGCACTAAGGAACAAAAAGCAAACAGTATTTAAAAGGATTTCTTAATGCATCATCTACATTACAGACAAGCTGTGTGAAGCTGAACCCAGCCAGAAGATAGCAAAGGCGATTCGTTTTAAAAAGCAATAAAGAGGAAAAACTGCGACAAGCAGTACTTACATCAGACTGTTAACAGATTAGTTGTCACTGAGTCAGCTGTGCTAACAACCTTTGGTCGATGAATCAGCTTTAAGTCTACAGCTCAGGATAATCTCACTCAACTGATGGGAAAAACAAACAAATTCGAAAAAAGAAGAAAAAAAACTGAAGATACTTGGTAAGTGTGTGCCACCAATTATCAGAAATAATGTATTCTTAAATCCTATGAAAATATCCAGTAATCCTAAATATAACTGCACAATATTAGAAGTAATTGCCATGTGTAATAGGATTGTTTAATATTGCAATGATGATGTCAGTTGTGATAAATCCATATCGTCCCCATCATCTTAAAATAGCGAGGGCATCGAGGCCAGTGAGAGTACTTTGAAATGACCGTATTTTTTTTCCATATATTTTCTGAAAACATGAATACTTGTTACTGGAAGTACGTATAATAACCTTTGACTTTTTTGCCGTCAAAGCAGTCCTTTAAAACACTAATATTGCACTCTGTGATGCCACAAGGACAATACATTTTCAATGTACTGCTCAGTCCTAATCATAATCTTTCTAAACAACAAATATTAAAGAGGTAGGCAAAACTGTTTGCAAGCAGAATGGAGTCCTATATTACCACCACCATATGGTTTCATTTTTAAAACTGAAATGCTGAAGATCCTCAATTTAAAAAAACTGATCTTCCATGTGTCAGATTTTTTTCATTATTATAATAAATGAATAATCCCAAGAAAGTCAAGAGTTGAACGTCAAAGGGAGTGTTCCTAAAGCATAAGTTGTATTGTCGTACCTCTTTTCCCATGAATACAAAAGTCTGCCTACMTCCCAAACATCATTCATTAGGGTCCCAGATGTTAACAATCCAAAGGAAGTGACATTTTTTCCCTAACCTAACCACAAAAATGTAAATAAAAAAAAAGACCCAACTCTGTAAGCATGAAATATATCGCAGACTCTTTGAACATGTTGTTGCCATATTTATTTGATGAAGTGATAAATCTGCACAGCTGTTTTCAGATTTTAKTAGAGGACCACACAGTGTTGAGGCAGGGAGCACAGCTCTACTACATACTGTACTACAAGCGTTCAGGACAAGCATGGAAAACTCACCACTCTTATGCCAATACRGTCGCAATGATGCTTTTAGGTACCGAAATGGAAYTGCATGAACATTCACGTGGTGTTTATGTAATACAGCGAATCGATAAAAAATCTGCGTCGACAAATTTACATAATCGACGTCATCGATTATTTCAASTAATCGGTGCAGCCCTAGTTCTGAATAAACAAAAAACTATTCTATGGGGGGTAGGGGGTGTAAACTCTCTCAGGGTCAAAGACTTGCTTTCTGGGACGTTAGTTAGCATAGATTAAAAGAATACCATAACTGGACCTCTACCTCATTCAACAAATCTCTCCTTTTGAAAAGTTTGGTGGGGCCTAGAAGAAGGCAAACAGGATGGCTGCTTAARCGCTGTACATGTGACGTTACCACACAAAGATCCCACTTAAGAGCAACAATACGTCAAGCTGTCAGGGACATAAACACACCATAGCTAACCRCCCGCTTGGGAAAGCAATAAGTGAGATCAAGTGACTCCTTTTCAGCTGAATTTTCCAATCCAGACCCAAATCTGATCTTTTTTTTTGTCCAAATGTAACCCATATCAGATTTTTTTTTTGGTCTGACAAATCCGATTTTGTTTTCCAAATCTGGAAAAAAAAGTTTGTTTCTTCTTTCATTATGTTGCTCYAGTTCCAAAAGTGCACTTTTGCACCCGAGTAAGCAGGAAGCTGCAAGATCCAATGAAAACAGTGCACAAAACAGTTATAGCAGATAATAATTTTGTCATCCTGATTRGAAAACTTCAGAGTTGATCCACATRGAGCATCCATATTTACTTCTGTAAACAGCGTGCTGAGCATGACATCCTGTCTTCTGCACGTCGCATTTAAATTATAATGTGAACGACRATGCAAAAACTGAATTCGAGCAAATTATTGTAACTGAGCATTAAGACCTGCAGTGTGAATGTAGCTACAGATCCTGTATGTTACAGTTACCATTCAAATGTCTGAAATCAAAGTTGCTCTACAAGCACCACTTCTTYGAGTCCTTAAATACCTGACCTACATCTGTGTTTGACATGGCTAACCAGTCACTGCTGTGTTCTAGATTTTCCTTCCTTTAATTCGGCAGCTCAACCAAAGCACAGCGAGAAACGAAACTGTTAATAACACCCTTTTATCATCCCACACCACTAACTCTATATCGCACTGTTCTTGCATAACCTGCTCCTTTTTCCTCGCTTATCAGTTCTGCAAATCTTTCACCGGTAAAGCACATGATKTCCGATGAAACAGTCTGTCAACTTGTTAGAACTATACACTCACACAAATATGCTTGACATGTAAATACAGAAACACAAAGAGGTTTTCACATAGGGGCCACAAACCTGCAAGTCGAGAGTCTTACCAACCTTTATCATCTGKAACGCAGATGTTTTTACAACATTTAGAGCATGACTATTAAACAATCTGTTAACACGCCCGCACAGTGATAATAAGGGTTTTCTGCAACATGAATGTGCAAGAACAGGAGGCAGTAAGCAACAAGTAAAGCTCATGGACTGGATTAAAATATAGTTCAGCTTACATAACAAAATTATTTTTCATCTTCATTTTTTTAAACAATAAACTAAATACTAATGATTTCATATATTTAAAAGACCAAAGTAATAATTGAAGCTAGAGGCACAAGTTTTTCTTGCACTTTACACTTTGTTGTAGGGTTGGGCAATAACAACATAAAAACTTATAACAACTAATCATGGCATTTAGTAGAAAATTAATCAAATAACTATTGAAATCAATTGCACTTGCATGTGGCAGAGGTTGTGCCCTGGTTTGCATTTTCTGGCTTTTCACGTACTCCAGTTTATGTCGGAGTTTCGGGTGATTAAACAAATTTGTAGGGTTAGGGTTAGATTTAGCTGCTCCATCCCGCCTTCCACCACTGGGCTCACACGCGTGCCTGATAATGATAGTGTGTCGTACAAAAAAAAAATAATAAAATTGGTCAACCATGGAACWAACTGCAAAGTGGCAAATAACTGTTGACAGTTTTACTGAAGAATAATTGCACACGATATGATTTTGCCCAACCCTACTTCGTTAGCTAAACAGAGTAGTTTGAGGTTTCCCATTGAACAAATATCAGATGGAGGCTCTCAACACAAACCCAGGACTGAAAAAAAAAATTGTACAGTAACTCCTTTATAAAAGGCTAACAAACAAGTCCTTTATGTTCCTTCACACATACTTCTTTAGTTTTCCCATCTGACATATCTACACAAATGCTTGTGGCATTAAACAACCGACTATCAGTTTTTAACAAAACACAAACAAAAAAATGAAAAAAATAAGTTATATTTAGGGCTGCAGCTAATGATCATTTTAGTAATCGATTAATCTATTGATTACTCTGACGATTAATCGAGTAATCAGATGTAAAAAAAT